AGAGAGAGAGAGAGAGAGAGAGAGAGAGAGAGAGAGAGAGAGGGCATGATTGAGGTACTTTTACGAATTGGATCACAACTTGCAGCAAAAATTCCTGCAGAGAACACTGCACAGCCGACAGATGCAACAACATCTATCAAAAATACAACAGATGCAACAAATAGAACAGCCATTCCTAAATTTTCTATTACTTTTGTAGCAGAACAAGTTGGAGGAGGAGAGGTGCACGATTATGCTAGAATTGATTAGGATGGTGCACTCGTGACATTTGGCTTACATACAGTTTATGAGCTCACTATAAGAATGTTGTTAATAGACTCGAAAAGATTATTAGCATTTCAAATGACCTTCTCCTCTCTCTCTCTCTCTCTCTACCGAGGAAGAAAGGAGTGTGGAGCTCACCTGCTGGAAACAATGTGAGCTGGAGCTATCGGAGTGTGCACCTTCATCCATTCACCACAGGAACTGCGTGCATCAGCATGCAGCAGGCCCCTTCCTGCAAGAATATATTATTGTCAGTCTGCTGCTCCTCCTCAGGGTTGGATATTGCGGATTCCAAGAGAAGTTCTAAATGTTGCACATGGACTTCTTTTTACCTTTAATCATTGTGAGACACTGCACCCTTTGATCATTGCAGGTTACAGTCATGCTTTCATGCTCTTATCCTTTTGCAAATGGTGGCACACAGGTTAGCTGATACTTGTTCCCTCATCACTAGGATTATGTCATCAAGTAAGAAGCTCACTAAGCATTCCTTTTTGGGTCTCAATAATCCAGGAGTGTGGCTACAAGATATGCTAACCTAAAAAAGACTTTACCTCTAGTATTTAATGCTGGAACACAAACTTGCAGAATGATATAGTCGAACTTGATTCCTTTATAGCAAGATTCCATAAAACCCATAAATTTACCTTTGCAAAGTCATATCTAAGAGTGCATAAGGTATGCATCAATGTGTGTATGCGAAGGGTCAATACAGGGTATTCTTTCTTGCAAGCAGAAAGAGGTATCTGGTAGCGGTTTCAGAAGCTTTTAGGTTGATAAACCATTCGAAATAGTGATCCCACGATCCCCGTGAGAACGTCATCATCCTAATCCGACACTTCACAGTGGTGGTAAAGCTTGGCTTTGGGTTCCCAACGCCAAACAGTGGAGCAGCAGCAGTAGCAACAGTGACAACTCCTTGAGGAGGAAGACGAGGAGGGGCCTCCACCGAGAGAGAAGTGAGTTGATGTGGATGTGACCAGCATGCGGCACTGAGCTCCCTCACATGGACCATCTCCTGTCGTCAGATCTTCCACGCCATCGTCTTCGAGGAGGAACGATCGGATCATACAAGTCCAACGGTTGCCTCTCCGTGAGAAGAAGATGGCGACGACTTACTTGCGTCTTCATGCGGAGACAAATCTACACTGCATGTCCAACTTGCATGTCCTGTGGATTTACTTTCTTACTGCTGGGAAAGGTAAAGAATCTTTGGCATTCGCACCAAGTGTTGGAATCGGAGGAGCGACGCATCTTTCTCACTCATTTGGCATCAAGCTGCACCATCGATCACATCACATGTCAGGGACTCTGTGGTCATGTCAGAGTAGATAATCGAGATGAAATGGGACTGAATCAGATGTTAAAATCCTAGGTTTCTTATTCTTCTATGAAATTAATGATCCAAACTAGCAACTACTTATAGTGTTTGACTGTTCTTTCTGTTGACTAGAGAGAGGAGTAAGCTCAATCCCAAAGATCATGGCTAAAAATAAAGCCATCTATCTCAACATTACCTTCATAGTCCTCCCAAACACTTATCTTTCCTCTTGGACAAAAAAATATTATTTTGATCAATGCACCTATTTTTATGTAAGACCATTAAGTTGCAGTACATGAATCAAAAATGTTTGTAAAGCATGTCAAACAACAAATGATCAGTACGTACAATGGTACCGCAGAAGGACCACTGACTCAAATCAATCACATGCGATGGAGTCGTAACGTAGTCACTTGTACGTCTCTTTTATCTTCCCTCAGTAGCCCTTTAATGAAGCAGTTCTTCACATGTCTTGGCGGTCCAGTTCTACCAGTACGAAACTTCAACTTGCACTACGGACTCCATTCCTAAACCTCTTAAACGACACCTGTATCTCCAATATGAAAGTTCAATGAAGCGGTCCAGTGGTCAAAGCTACGATGTCACTTTCACTTGCAGACATCAAGAAAACTACGTTGTGTTTGAACCTGCAACAACTGTAACGATGGAGCTGCTACATGCAGACAATCCCCTAGAGAATCTTGTATCAGAAAACAAGACGAGCTAAAGCCAGGTTACATTCTACCTGTGTGCAACAATTTTACCGAGACAGGAGAATGGCAGTGCACTGTCACTCGTGAACGTACTCACAGTCCTTTGTATAGTAGCCCCACAACAGGGAGCAGCATTATTGCCGTATGGTCCATATCCAAGTCAGATCATTGAAGGGGCCTTTAGGTTCCATTACGCTGCAGCATTATTGTCACGCCAATCCAAGTAAACTATGTTCGAAAGGCCAATCACAGAGAGACAAATGGCCGAAGAATACTGCTAGAGGTAATGACTCCACGTAGCATAATTAGCTTACGAGGGACCACAATTTGTAGGTTAAGATTCCTGAGAATTAAGTTGTCAGCAATGCCTATAATCCATGCCCCCTTCACGTGGCCATGTCATATTGAAAATGTCATTCCAAGTGTTCTGCCATGTGATGGATAAAGTAGCAGTGGTGTAGAAAGGCAATGGCATAGCATGAGAATGGTTGGTCGTTTCAAAGTGGTGGGTGATGACCTATTGTTCCTTTGTAGCAATATCAATGATGGTGATCTTTAGATGTCCTTTTCATGGGTGTCTTATCAGTAGGTGATATATAATTTAGTGCTGTCTCTTTTTTATTTGGACTTTTGCAACTTGTATTGCTTTGTTTGTTTTCTTGGATCCTACACCTCACAAGCAGGCTGCTATCTATCTACCTACCGGTCAATACACGACCCTGATGCACAGCCGGGACGATGAAGTGCATGCACTGACTGAGATGAAACGTCGTCAACTTGTGTCGCCAGAGGAGATCTCCCTGCAGTGTCCTCTCTGGCTCAGGCTGGCACTACTGTTACTATTGGTGGTCGACTGGAGCTTTGTCCAATCCTACAAGTGGTACCACGATCACAAATGGATCCCCGTATTATTTTCATTTTTATTCAAACACTCGATTGAAAAATTTTCTCTTTTATGTTAAATTTTGGTTGCTAAGCATGTTATGAAGGTTATTGCACTATCAATGCGGGAATAAAAGAGAAAGATGTCTCTGACCTAAGTCGATGTACTTGAACAACGATCTTAGCCGAGGAAGCGCCAGGAGCTATCAAAATAAATGGGAAATCAATCATTAGGTGATAAATAGAGTAACAACAGACTGATCCGAAGCTTCAGAATGTATAGATAATACAACCACTCATTTGGTTTCAGGAGCCGCAATTCATTATATCCTTCTTATGTACTTCCATCACAGCATCTTTTAGCCTTCTGCATCAAATGCAACATGGGAAATCATGAGACTATGTTGAACAAAGTATTGAAAACACCACTTCAATGAAATCAACAATAATAATAATAATAATAAAGCATGTCTGATGAAATCATGAATATTATTTTTCCAGATCAAAGACATCTCAGTTCTTCTCGTATAAGAATATTAGCTTACCTATAAAACTCATCTTCAAATGCTCGCAGATGGTGCCGACTCAGGGAAGTCGGAGTACTCGGTTTACAGCCACATCCAGATTGTCCACGTTCTTCCTTAATATCTTTCTTCCACATGTATTAAGAAACCAATTAAAGATATGAACAGATATACAAAAGCACATACATACGAGAAAAAGGCTTCATTCTCAATTATTTATTCCCATTTATTTTGGATTGGTTAACTTATTCAACCACCTGCATGTCAGAGATTCTCCTCTGGTGTATGAGAAGTATTTCAAGTGAACCTAAGTATACGCGAGCCTTTAAATTACACACTCAAAAAAATACATGGCATGAAATATATACAGATCATTTGTTTAATTTTCCAGGGAACATTTGAGTTGTTTCTGAAACCATGATAAGTAAAAAAACTTTGCTTTTGGTGAAACAAAAAACTTGGATCCTGTGACCATAAGGCTCATCATTTTGACATTCTGAGCCTCTTATTTAGCAAGTAACATGAATCAGATTGTTATCGAGGAGTCAAGAATTCAAGGATTAAAATCCTAGAAAGTAAGAAGACCATGAGGTTGTTCATTATTTCTTTCTAAATCATCAAGCAACCTTACAGGCTATTTGAAGTTTAGCTGTGAGTCAATCTGGAGTCGCTTGAATCTACATCTTTATGGCTGCACAGTTTATTTGCAAGATTTCAAAACATTTGATCAGATTCTGGCATTTATATGTACAAGCAGCTCTATATAATTAGATTTCACAAGTAAAATAAGGATCCAAACATCTTGAAATGATATTTACTGACCACTGATAGTCTGATTACAAGTCAAATAGATTCTACTGCAATACAACAATCATCTAAATATTTAGTCATTCCAGTGGCAACTTAAAGCATCAGTCTTTTATCATACTGATCATTTTCAATAACATAAATATAACTTGACTTCTTGATAAATAATTTTCAACAGTAATTCTAAAGCAATGATTACTGTAACTAATATAAATAGTTGGGAATCCATTTTCTGATCTCATATCCATATCCTGTTTTCGGTAAGACAGAAGAGAAATGAATGACCACATAGTAAGTCAGAAGGCACATACCATAATGCTTCATCAAACATAAACCCAGCACCTTATAACTCAACTTTACTAATAGAAAATGAAAACATCAGCTTTCTACAATGTCAGAATTTGATTAAAAGATTGTTTTCTGGAATATAAACAGAGAAGAAAACTCAAAGGATACAACTGCAGAGCCAGACTTTCCAAGCTTTTCATTTCCTCATTCAATCTGCAGAAATCAACACAGCACCTTACCAAGCAATTTTGACATAAGTTAAAAAGGCCAAGTAATTGAAAGGAAGTTTCCTCTTATTGGATTGAAACCCATGTTGTTGAACAGAAGATACACTGGTAGAACCAGAAAAATGTTTTATCTCCTTAACTTTTGAGGAGAAAATATGTCTAGAACGTATTTTGGAACAAAAAAGCCCAAATAAAAGAAAACAAAAAAATAAAGCACATAGTTAAATTGACAGAGCTCAAGTTCAAGAAAAGTGCAGATTGTCTGCTGAACACGCAAAAACTAGAATCTTAGCAGAAAAATCTCAAATCATATTATTAAAGCATCCTAATCTAGTCAGTCAATCAAGCATTACCTAGGAAGACACTCTTGCAACTACAAATTAAGTATCGAACATTATGGCTGTATTGCATAGTGCATACATGCATCTACATATATATATATGGTATATATACACACAGATCGCTGGATGGCCCAATGAAATCCTATCTGGATTGTGATCATCCAGATTCAACCAAGTCTGCCCATTTCTGACCAATCCAACATCGCTCAGGGAATACAAAGAATGTTGTACCCTTTCTTTTAAAGATAAACAAGAAAAACCAAAAGAAGTGGATAAAGAAGAAGAGGAGACGGTAGTTATTTGATTCCCACCACTCTTATCAATGCTGATGCTAGAGGAGGTGGGGTTGTGGGGGTGGCATAGTATGGGGGATCTTAACCAACCACAATTAGCAAGCTTAATGTTGTGAAGTACTTATTCAAGGAAAAATAAAGTAACAATGTTATGACAAACTCCTCTATGCATCATATAATCTTAGTATCAGAGAAAATAAAGGAAAGGTCTTTGTCAACCATAATTCACAATGATAGGGCAGTGGTGGAGCATCATTAAGAAGTGTAGCCACGGAGATGTTGCAAATGTAATTTAACAATAGTCATAGCATGTTACTGAAGCTATAAAATATCATAGAATCCAATATTTTTTTTCCTTTTAAGAAGACTTAAATTCTGGTAAATTTAGACACTGAACTGATATGGGAAGAAAAGTCTGACTGAGAGCATATACTTTGAGTGGATGGCCTAAAAGCAAAGACATTCGTCACACACAAACCCTGTTCAATCAGGATTCTAAGAGAATCAATTAGCTGCAACCTTATGTGAAAGGAATAATAAAAATAACTACAAACTTTAGCGATCAAATTAAAAAAAGGAGTTTTAGATATATCAGAAAAAAGAGGGACAATGCTTTCAATAGATCTGGACTACTGATCAATTGTGCAGGATTACAGGAAAAAGGAAACATCAGTCAGATGCAATTGAAGACAGCCTACGGCTGCAGACCAGAGAATTTATCATGACTATCTATTGGACAATCATTGTGGTCATATGATATAGTAGCAGGGTTCACCGTACCACAGTGTACCAGATATGGTACATGTTACATGATCCTGTATTGGGCGATACAGGGTTTGAAACGGTTAGTAATGGTCAACATCCGACCATTACCTATCAAAAGCTAAGATTGATGGTGTAGTTTGAAGTTTTCTAAAACTACTAGACTTACAATTTTTTTCTCATGTATGATTTGTGAGGTGGTGTTGTGAACTTGTGATGCAACTAAAACCACTTGGTGTGACTCTCAACACCCATGAGACTCTAGGTATCTTCTTCTCTCTTATAATCCACCTATTTGTTCTCCTTTACATTTCCCTATAGTTATTATTGCTGAATTATCAATTTTCCAAAACATTAGTCCTGTTTATACCCACTTTCCTTACAAATTCATAATTTAAATTGAAATATCCAGTAGATCCTTTGTTTACTCTCATATTTATAGAAGCCTAAATCCCTTAAAAAATCCTTTCCTCTTCTTGTCCTGCATCAAAGAAGCAGATTATCAAATGACATTCTTAAATGCAGTGATATATGTAACTACATGTAACATGAGAACTCCTACCAGAACACACTAACAACCCAAATAATAATAATGGAAAATCAACACCCCAAAGAGAAACTCTTGTTGCCAAAATTACGGAAGAAATTTAATCACCTGAAAATAAAGCATATCATTAAATAACAATTGCACAACTGATACAAGTATATTGACAGAAAGACAAAACATGCATTGTTAGAGATATCAATATCCAACGCAATACACAAACAGAACAGAGTTATTTATGGAAACTATGGGATTAAAAAAAGGAAAATAGACCGAGTTGATCAAAGGTCTCAAAAGTTTAATCAACAAAAAAGAACAGGTCAAGTCACTAACAAGACAGCACCTTAGGCAGGAATTTATGTACCGATTTCCCTTTGTTGCGGCATCAAGAGCTGCAAAAGAATCAGCAAGAGTAAGAAATCCTTGGCCAAGTTCTTATTCATGGAAGAATTATATAATGGTTCTTGGTATAATCTGTAAGACAAAATAGTTACTTATATCTGGCATTACTAGTATTTCCACAAGTTTCTTTCCTAACACGAATGTTAATCTTAAAATTATTCACAATTCAGCTTTTGAGCAATTGTGAACTTGACCAATGAGTCTAGCGCATCCTAGAAAAGAGACTAAAGGATGTTCCAACTACAATACCTTGAAAGATATTATATGTGTATATCAGAAATAGAACATTTTGTTACAACTAACAATAACTCAAAAAAAATTGCAAGAGAAAGTAAGTACAAGATTCAGCGCTATGGTAAAAATGAAGTCAAACTGACCAAAGGGGTATATGAGTCTGGCTAGTGACCACACTCTTCCTATCCGGTATACATAAACACAGATATAATACTGCTACAACAGGCCTTGGTAGCACAGTTTGCTCCATTGTGACCTTCATGTTGAGGGTTCAAAGTCAGGATAGTCTTAATGCATATAGATGGGGTTAGGAATGGTGACCCTCCCTAGCTCTGAGATTGGTTGGAGCCCTGTGCAACAGGCTATCATCTTTTTTAGACATGATACTGAAAATAATCTGCAGACCTATCCGTCTTGCTACTTGACTCAGCCTATACCTTTCAAGGCATTCTTAAATCATTTTCTGGTCAAATGTCAGTTGTTTCTTGGCACCAGAGGTACATTGCATTATAGGGATTTTTTTTTTTATTCAGATATCGAGCAAGTAGTACTAAAAGAATTTCATTAAATCACATGTCCCAGAACAGTTACCTTCTCCTTTATCATATCAAGTCAAGGCATTGGGAACCTTCCCTGAAATTAAAGGTTTGGTGTGTGGATTGTTTTTGCCTATACTAGGAAAACGGAATGAGTTCTGCACATGACAATCCTCCAAGCTCTTTTCAACATTATCATTGTTTTTCGTGTAGTGTATACTAACAACTCATTTTTAAGCAGGTCTGACTTAATTGACTGATCTGGAAGCTATCATAGAATATGTGTGGAATAATTTTGCAAGCCAGAAAGGCAGATATATTTATTCAAACAGCCAACACAAGAGTAACCAGTCCACCATGTCAACGAGCCAAACCCTGTAACAAAGATCACCAATTATGTAACCTCTCCATCATGTTCACAAAGTGGAGACAGTGCACATACCAAGTTTGTCATGGTGCTCGATAACTTGACCAGAAAGCAAACATGACCTTTACCTTCAAAATAAAATATCAAAATCTTCAATAACTATACAGTTAGATTCCTCAGACTACCAGTTTGTCCACACTCTAAACATCCTGAGTGGACCGGCCAATGGTTTGAAAAGGATCTCATCTCATTCATAGGCCTCGATCTACCAGGCTGGGAAACAAACACCATCTCTTTGTCACAATGACATAACACTTGTTTCAGCTGAATCAGAAGGTTGAAAATGACTCTAGCCTGAAGCATCTAAAGTCAAAGACTGACATACTGGCTTCATTTTATGTCAGGAAAATATCTTGGGATCCAGAAATTTCAACAACTGTGTCCCAGGGATTCCAAGGGCAAGACAACTGCAAATTTGGCTGCTGTCTCACTGGTTCATAGGCATAAGATGGTAAAACTTCTGCAAATTCCATGTCAGTGTTAGGAGAGAAGGGCAACCAAGTTACATGAATGAACTCTGCTGAAGGGATAATTTGACACCCTAAATTGAAGAAAAACACTCGCTCTTAACAAATATAATATCTAGTTGTAGAAGACGAAAATGGCATGCCAAGGTTCACCTAGTGCAAAATGCAAACATCATCCAACCAGAGAGACAATCAGCTCATATATTGCCCTCTCGGGTTAACTGAAAACAACATTCTATAGAGGTTCGTGGAAACTGAAGGGTACATTCTGTAGAGAACTTGCATTCCACTAATGTGATGATGTCATCCAGAAATTTCCCAGGATAACTAATATCGAGAGTTGGCAATGTTATACTAACAAAGCCTTTTGGCTCATGAGTGCATCATTCTTCATTATTTAGATGAATAACAAAGCCTTATAAGATTCACAATATACCCAAACCTATCACTAAGAGTAAGAAGTGACTCAGAACAAAGCCTTAAAACTGACAACTCAATTATTGGCATCCATTGAAATTGACCATGAGGTGAAGTTACAATACTTTGGCCATGTGAGAAAGTTGCAATCAAGAACCAAATATTTTAAAGTGACAATTTGAATTTCAATATCTCATAAGTGCATATAAACATACCCAAAATCATCTATGGAGAAAAATATTTATGTTTCCCATCCTCTCCAGTCTGCTAGATATCCATATTGACCAATACAAACTAATATAATACCACCAGTACAAGGCAATTGCCATAGGAAGATACCCTTTTTCGTTACCTAATCAGATCATTACATAAAATGAGCAAGAAGCTGATGATACCAGCTCAAACTAGGCACATTTATGAAGTAATCATCCAAAAGATTCTTATAATAAGCTGGTTAAAGTACTAAATACTTAACAAAATTTAGAATGAACTGATTTGCATACTAGGATTACCAGATTCTTGTAGACGGCCAACGACATCATTGAAGCATTGCATGTTTTCAAGTGAAGTACTAGTGACCTGCAGATGGCACATGCTGTTAGGGAGAAAAACCACCACTGAGTGAACCAACAAGTCTAGTAGGTTGATTGGGAAACAACAAAATAACCAAAACTTATGGAACACCATAATCGTTTATCCTATTAATTTTATACAAGTGTAATGGGAAATTGGATGACAGATTAGATAAATAGAACTCCTATGCTACAATTTCAGGTGCACAAATGCCGACCGACCTAAAAGGAAATGCTCAGATAAGCATATGTGAATCGCTGTGCCCTAATTATTAGAAGTTCTTCACTACTTGTAGCAGGTAAGGTGAATCAACCACGCGAATTACATGGAAGCCCGATGAGAAGGGAAATATTAACATGGAACAGAATAGAGCTCACTCGACATGAAAGACCCAAAACGTGAAGCTAACAGCAAACAGCAAGACACGATATTCTTGATCACGGAGGGTACTCAATCCAGGAAAAGGCTGATTGATCGAAAGAGGAAGCGAACGAGGGTTGCGAGACCTCGGAGAGAGCGATGCGGAGAGAGGAGAAGAGGGAGGCGTAGCTCTCGGCGATGGCGACGGAATCCCTCTCCACCACTTGCAGCGCTCGGAGGATCTCGCCGGGTGACGTCGCCGCCGGCGCCGGCGCCGCTGCCGAGATGCAGGGGTCGAAAGGGCTCTTGGTGGAGGAAGAGGAGGACGGAGTTGGTTCCTCTTGGCTCGTGGCAACGGCGTCTGCCGCCGGTGCTTTTTCTGCTGCTGCTCCATCTCCTTCCATCGCAACGGAGTCTGGTAAGGTAGGGAGAGACGTACATATATACAGGAGAAAAGCAACGTTTTAAATGACTGTTACAATAAAGATAACGAAGTCAAATATTACTGTTTAACATGCCGTTATAATATATTAATCATTAAGAGTCTAAATCAGAATCATTTCAGATCTATCTAAAAAAATCAATTCAAAATCGATTAATTTATAATTTTAAACAATTTAAAAAAATATATAAATTAAATTTAAAAAAAAACTTATTTAGTTCATTTAGTTTAATTAAATTAAATTTAAATCTTGATCCAACACCATAATATTTATAAAATTAGGTTCGTGTTATTTATGAAATTGTAACATTAAATTGAGCGTCAATTTGATTAATTGGATTAAAACAACTAATATATTAATATTTTTTAAATTAAAATTATAACATTATATTGACGGTGCACTCATCTAATTTTTGGAGATACTGAATTCTATAAAATTGTATGGAGGGTATTTTTCCGTGATGTCCTTTGCTGGTTAAATTAGTTTTTGGTTTTATTAGATTCCTTCTACTTTTTAAATAGTATCGGACAAATATTTAGGAACATATCTTATAACACCCCTGATTAGTCCCACATCGATAGTGGACAAGATTAAGATTGACTTATAAGAGTTTGATGAGTATATTACTACCAACTTCAGCTTAAGTATTTTGGTGAATTTAATTAGAACTCCTCCAATTATCTCCTACTTGGTAGAAAAGATGTATTTATATCGGATATAACATCTCAAACCTATAAGTTTTTCAATAAGAATACAATACTAAAACTTGAAATGTTACTTATATAATACATTCATTACATAATTCAATCAATAATTAATTTATGTAGGATATGCATAATCTATTCAATGAATTCAACAAAAAACATTTCATTCCAAATGATATATGTATAAAATAATTTGAATGTACAATAGTGTGCAAGACTCTTAATTGTCATTTGATCCATAACAACAAATGAGCTACTCCTCATATTTGAAAAATTAAGAGATAATAATATAAGTCATAACTTAAAATATATATTTTTTTTTATCAATATACATAAATACAAAATATTTCTACATGAGCTTCATATATATTTGAAGACACGTAAAATGCTTACAGTACTTTTCATATCATAATACATTTAAATATATTTTTATAAGTAAAGTAATAAGTACAAGTAATGTCACATATAATTAAATTAAAATATAAATACAACTAATGTCACATACAAGAGTATAAATTATTGTAATGCAAACTTGCCATTAACTATTCACAAATAAGCATAAATATAGTTAAGAATTTATAGACAAAATTATAGCTAAGTTAAATATGTCAAAATAAAAGATATAATAATATTAATAACTATGGTCACGTTATATCCATATGATAAGATCTAAAAGTCATGTTTAACCCCTTTAATATGAATATTCTTCAATAGTTCAAGTCCCTGATCGATGTATTTCCTACGTCACTATCTCAAAACCATATTAGTCTATAAACTCATTAATTAAATTTTTCATCAAAATTCAAAATTCAACACGATACTTGAACGACCCGTTTGTGTCATTAATCTATTTTCTTATCTAATTTGTTTTGTCATCTATTTACGGGCGATGCAAGGTTCCTCGCCTTATATAGGTAGAGTCAAGGATGACGTGCTACTCATGTTTAGTTTGCAGGCTGTCATGGGTAGCTTGCTATTAGTAACATCATTGTGGAGGGTGGCAACCTACTATGGTCACTAGCCCTAGCATGGGTAGCAGTTGTGTAAGCGACGATGCTATTGTCATTAGTTACCGTTATGGGCAAAAGAGGAGGAACTCATAGGTGGTAGTGATGTGTACAGCAACTACTATTGAGTGAAGCAGTGGTGCTACATGCGACGATTGCCACCATGGGTAGATATTGCTTTGGGTGGCGTCATTGTTGCATGTGATAGCGCTACACTATGCAATGGTCACTTAATGTCACGGAAGAGAGTTACGATAAAAAGGGGAGGCCTTGCAGGTAGGCTGGGACGGTATGACTTGGCTATAGGTGATGCTGCATACATGGCATAGGAGGGTGGCAATTTTAAGTGGTTGATGGTTGCAAGTGGGAATCACAATTTACGATTTAACATCAATAGGTTGCAAGGGAGAACATGATCTAGGTGGCATCGTGCGAAGGTCTAGGTGTTATTCTCAGTGACAATGCACAAGATGGAGATTGACCCATCATTGTGGTGGATAATGCAATTAGGCACTAGTCGGTGGATGGATAGTGTCACACATATGACAATGAATGCGATGAATAAGAGGCTCATTGGGTTGTGTTGGGTGTCACAAACTAGACTGTTGGGTGTCACGATAGTAGTGATTTTCTAGGCTGGTGGTAACATTCATATATGTCAGTCAGGTGGTTGTAGTTACGACAATGATAGTCCAATTATTTTAGTCCAATTTGATTGGCTCAATTTGGGATGTCCAGTTAAATAAGATTGATTAGCCCATTTAGGTCATTTACAGAATTAAAATTTTATAAATTATGAATTTCTTTTATAGTTTTCTCATATAGTATATTAGAAAATTCATAGATATTTGTATAGTTATTCACATACATATATCTTGAAATTATGAAATGATATGTATTTTCACATAAAGTCATGAATTTTTATTTTTTCATGATTATTATCATCATATGAGTTTTTCTTTATGTTGAATAATATTTAAGAATTAATATAATTATTATTTTATTAGTATTGAACTTTTTTTTAAATATAAATTGGATTAACAAAAAATTAGTAAATATCATTTGTAACTTATACTTCTAATTTTTATTTTACTAACCATTATCAAGGTGGCCTAGGATGATTAGTTTATGAGATATAAATTATAATAAATATTTTATCATTTATAATTTTTTAAACTATATTTTATATTATTATATTAGTCTTATAGTTACTAAAGTGGTTTAGACTAATAACTTATAAAATAATATTCATAGTGGCTAACATAACTTGGATATTTAGATAATCTCAAAGAAGAATTTATTTCGACTAATTGTGTGATGAGTAGAATTATACTATTTTAGATATTCTTACTGTTTAGTTTTATATACCAAAATATAGCAAAATTATTTCATAAGAATGGTATTAGTCTTATATAAATAATTTTGAGTAAATATAGAATATATTAATATTTCACCTAAAAGTGAAATATATATAAAATTAATTGTTCATCATATTTTAAAAACTCAAAACATTATTATTATTTTATATTTTAGGTACTTCCTTCTATACACTCTTATGTTTTTGGTGTCCATACAATCTTTAGTTTAAATTATTTGTATATTAAATCTTAACTTAACATGAAAGGCTCTTAAATTTAAAATTACATACTAACTCGAATTAGAATCGAAATCAATTATTCTAATTTTTTAGACCTAGGAACCAAAACTAAAACACCATTCTAACTCGATTTGAAACTAGCGAACCACATAATCGATTAAATTTTACTTTAAATCGAATTGTGATCGGTAGCTATTTTTTAAAATTAAAATAAAATTTTATTATTGCTTAATCAGACACGTACAAAATAGGGACAATAATTGGTCAATAATTTCAATAATTTTAGTATTCTAGACATTATTAAAAATCATATCATTCCTTGCATACCTCTAAAAGTCAGTAACAATCAAAACTTAGAAAATTCTAACCACCAAAATTCTAATCCTCATTAAGCCATTTACTGTTAACTCAATCCACAAAGGAAAAAAAATTAAGGAAGATAGCAGTCAATGGATTCAATAGTAGAATAAAACAAAACAAAGAAAGGATATTGAGAAAAATAGTAATCAATGGATTCAATAGTAGAATATAAAAAAAAAGTGATGACTACAAAAAAGGCATTTACAAGAAAGATTTAATGGAACCTATCCTCTTATTATGGTATTTCTAAAAACAAAATTCATTATATGTCCATAGAAAAATTTCCATGTCACAAATCTAATTCTGGTTCAGCACAGATAAAAAAATCCAACACAAACAGTCCGCGCAGCTGTTAGATTCTGGTTCAGCGCAAACAAATCTTTTCCTGATATAGAAGATCCATTTCCTAATCGAGTTTCCGGCGGTTTGGCAAACAGCTACTCGTCACTAAATCGAGTATTCTGCCGCACTCTTAATTATCCATCCTCCACTGCTTTGTGGTGCATCTCA